ACACACACACACACACTTAATGTTTGAAGCTGGACTCATCCAGAGTGACAAAGAGTACTAATGAATAATGAATGACCATTGAAGGCCTTCATGTAATTTTTGCCCTGAATTTAGTCATAGTGACTCATTTTCTGACTGACGAAAGAAAAGAGATACAAGGAATAAAATGGAGGGTGGCGGAGGTGAGAGAAATAAAACAGGTGAAGGAAGAATAAACCTCAGCTGTCCAAGATGAGGGAGAAAAGAAGAAAGATAAATCAATAAAGGTAAATAATGGAGTGAAGAAGAGAAAGAGGAAGAGATGAAAGAGACAGGGGGTTCAGGAGGAGGACAAGATGAGACCAAAGGCAGACAACCGTGGTCTGAGGTTTAAATCCTGATCCAGCGCTCAGATCAGATCCAGACCAGGATTTAACCAAGACTGCACTGCAGAGGGGGCGAGAGAGGACTGAGGAGACTGTAAAACAGGGAGAGAGAGAGATGGGGGGTAATGTCTTTCACTCATATATGAATACATTAACATACACACCAAATGTACACACCATCAACCTCTCTCTGTCTCTCTAACACCAGACAACACAAACTGATTTGCTGTAAATTAAAACTAAAATGAAATGTTTGGATAAAAACATTCTTCTTAGCTGAAAAAATAAAATAAAATAAATAAACCTGTACACTAGAAAAGCAAAATAGGAAAATACCAAAAAATTCAATTTCCCCACAAGGACATTCCCTGTTCAGGAGGGGGGTTGTTCCGCTTTAATCAGCAGTGACTGATGTATCAATCCCATCTACGCCATTTTCACTCATCACAGATGCCTTTGCTAGAAGCACTTAACATAACATTTGTCATGTTCACTGACTATTACCGTAAGTTGACTTACAACAGCCTGTACAGCTGCGTCCACTGTGTAATGTGGAAGGATTCACCTGTAGTGACAAATCCAAAGAGAAATATTTCCAACTCTGCTGCTCAAAAGAGCATGAAGCCAAAAAAGTATATTCCCGCTGTAAAGAAATTACCCGGACAAATGCCTAATGCACTTGCTAGCATGCGCACAAGTTCATTCCTCCACTAAAGAAAGATTTAATCGTATGGCTCTAGACATTCCAAATGTTGTCGGACAGAATGTATAAAATTCTGATAGCAAGCCAGTCATTTCAGGGGGGTTGTGACACACAGAAAAATGTATTCATCGTTTTATAGCTGCTTCTTTCACAATGAAGGCTTTTCAAATTGGCTTCAAAGAGTGTGCTCTTTATGGGAGCTTGTTTGGGTTAAAATAAGTACAAATGGTTGTGTCAGTTAAGTTACGTTATGTACGTTAACTTCTGTCACATCACCTTTGTTTTCACACAGGACAACTAAGTCCTGTGTTGGTTTGACCCATCCATTCACCCCGACTTCCTCCCTCCACTGACTGTCGCTCTTTACACTACAGCTTTAAGTTACAGTGACACAGTCTGGTCTTTAGCTCTCCCTTCTGTTTCACAGCACTGTGCTCCAACTTGTCAAGACCCAGCACATTCAACTTACAGCACGGCACAATAACCCTTAGCTAACTGAACTTCTTTAGCTAGCCTTGTATGCGATGAGCTAGCAACTATGATAGTGCTGATTATCTTAAGTAATGCTATAATAAGCTAGCAGACATGAACTAAGCTACCATCCCACCACTGAGGACTTGGATATGATTTATATTGTATTCTGATGTTTGTGAGTGGGAAGCCAGTGAGGGATTACATTACTACTGACAAAGGAGGAAAATATATCTATATCTATATCATCCCTACAGGTCACATACCATAATATTCTGCTGTGCATTTAAATCAATAATGTACATTTTTTCAGAATAGTTCATGTGAAAGAAAATAAATTCCCAGCCTGCCGCTTTTGACCTTCTGTCGCACTTCAACCTTAGCCGGACCCCTATGAAAGATTTCTTGGGGCACTACTGTATAAGTGAGATAAAAAAAACAACATTGTATAATGTGTGTGTGTGTGTTTGTGTGAGTGCATGTGTGTGTGCGTGTGTGAGTGTGGGTGTGTGTGTGTGTGTGTGCGTGCGTGCATGCGTGTGTGTGTGTGTGAAGAGTCACCCCAAGGATCAAGAGGCCTGGCATCGTCAAGGGTAACAAGGTGGTATGCTGACAATCACACACACACCCACACACACAAACACACACACACCCACCGTGATTTCTCGTGGGAATGTCTGATTGGCCGCTGTGAACCTGCTGGGATGCTCGGTTCCCGTGGCGATAGTAACCAAGCGATAACACCAACCATCTGACCCTCTTAATGTCTGTGTGTGTGTGTGTGTGTGTGTATTGCCATCTGTGCTGCTGGCTCAGGGGAGACGCAACACACTGAACAGTGATTAAAGGAGAGACAAAGAAAGCTAGAAAGAAAGAAAGGCCAGGTTAGATAACCGGTGACAGAACGTAACTATCCTATATACTGAGACACAGAAAACATAGGTTCTCCACATCTGTTCCAGTCTTTATGCTTCGCTCATATGACAGAAACATATGGTGAAGGCTGTTGCACAGCACTACGTCTGACAGCAGTGTCTGGTCAGACAGTCAGACAGACAGACAGTCAGACATTCGGTCAGTTAGTTAGCTAATGAATCTGATTGTCAGTTAAGTAGGTACTTTTTAGAGTATTATTGAGCCAGTTATATAGTAGGTTAACTACTATCCTATGTCAGCTATTCAGTTGCCTAGTTTGTCGTAGCTACTAACAAGTATGTCGGACAGTTAGTTAGCTATCTAGTCAGTTAGACAGAGAAGCAGATAACTAGCATATCAGTTATTTAATTGGTTAGTTAGTTGGTTGTCTAGTGCATTAGTTAGCGGGTCAGTTAGTTACTTTGTTACTCATTCATTAGGTACGTTAGTTGTTTTTGTCATCCAGTCACACAGGTAGTTAGCTAATTAGCTAGCTAGCCAGTATGTTTGTCATCTAAGTGGAAAACACACTAATTATTCGTTTACTTCTAGTTGATTTTCAGTCTAGTCAGTCAGGTAGTTAGCTAGCTAGTTAACGGAGTATGTTTGTCAGCTAGGTAGATAACTAGGAGTTAGCTAGTTAATTTGTTACTCAGTAAGTAAGTTACTCCTTATTCCTTTACGTTGTAGTTAGTTGATTAGCTGTGTGCTAGTTTGTTAGTCAGTCAGATAGCTCAAGAGTGTGTTTGTCAGCAAAAAAATTAAATATGGATTATCCAGGTTTTACATAACTAGGATTGCAACCACAATAATATTCAATGTGAATATAACTGTATTCAATGTCTCCCCTATTCTGCCCTTTTTTATCCTCACACACACACACTCACACACACAAGAGACACAGCTGCTGATCCATTTAGATGCAGAATGACTCTATTGTGCTGACTCAGATGTTCTGCAGACTGGCTGAGCTGTTCACATCTTTGTGTGTGTGTGTCAGATGGTAGTAACTGCTGTCACACCACATGACTAACTGAATTTTAACCCCAACACAAACAACAACACAACACAACAAAGAATGACTTTGCCAAAACCAGTCAATTCCTGCTGTTGTCTCAGCTGTGACTCTGACTGAAACACCAACTGAGCATCGGAGCAGAGATATTCCTCCTGGGAAACGTTGTAGCCCCAGTAATAACTCAGGTGGATTCACAAACCATTTTGTTGCGTTATTAAAATACGGAGGCACATGTGGCGGGACTGGGAGTGGTAAACATAACAGAAAGTGTAAAGAAAACAATTTTAAGTTCTCTTTACGTCATCTTTTGTTACTTTAAACTGCTCAGCTGTGACAGAGTAGAAACTTGCACAGATTTATGGACGCATATTCAGTTATTCTTGCAGATAGAAACATTACAGCTAGAGACTGTAAAACACTGAAGCTGATTTGACCCTGTCAGAGCCCCTGTCTGAACTGTCTGCTCTTCATCACCCAGAATCACACAAACCTGAGTTTAGAATAAGTTTAAATTATTGACTTACTACTGCAACACAAAGCAAGAAAAAGATTTTATAAAAAGAACAAAAGTGACCACAGAAACTTGGAAATCAAGGGATGTCTCGGGAAATACAACGAGTGACAGAAATGAAGACAACTGATAGCAGGTTGTGTTTATCTATGAGCAGCGACAGAAACATCACATGCATCAGCTGTGTGTGTGTGTGTGGGGGGGGTTCCTACCTGGTTCTCGGAGCAGCAGCTGAGCCATGGCCTGCGAGCTGCCAGCTGAGTTTTCAGCTACACACTGATAAAATCCTTCGTCTGACTTCACCAAACCCAAAATCTGCAGGTTACTGCCGTCCTGGACAACCAACACATTCAACATGTCAATGAAACCTTAAAAAATATACAATAAAGTCTGACTTAGACCAGATACAGACAAGAAAAAACAGCAGTATAAGAATATAATATGTGTTTGTGGGTGTTTGTATGTGTGTTATCTGTTTACAGTAGATTATGGGATTAAAGATTATGAGATATTCAGATTATCAGATTAGAGTAATGTTATTATCACTACTCTGCTGCTCTCACTTTCTCTTTTTAACACTGTTTTCATTTAACATTAAATTCCAATTGACCTTTTTTTGAATCAGTGTTGAGACGCTGTCAATTAAATAATCACTTCCTGCAGATATTTCGCATTAAAATACACGTTAATATAATGTCATTTATAATACAGCAGAATGTGTTGGCTGTTGTGTTTTTTGCTATCAGGGTGACTTTGTATTATTGTCTTTTGTTTTATTGCTTTGCTTTTAGCAGAAAAGAGCTTCATGGATACCCGTAGAATCGCTTTTCATTCATATATCTTGAGTTGTGACCAAACGACCACTTTGAAAATGCATATACCAGTTCCTCCATTGCCAAAAGTTAGCCAAATCTGCAGTGTTATTTAGACAAGATACCGATTGGTACTGTGTTTGTGTTTTATTTTCTTTCTACGTGTCACTGCGCAGAAGGAAGCATGCACGAGGCTCGTGCTCGTGAGGGCTCTGTAAACATTAATAGCGTCCATCTTGGCAGAGCTGTAACATTAGCTAGCCAAGAAATTCATGCTTCCTTCTGCGCAGTGATGCAATTGGTGGGTGAAGTTTGGTAGAAAGAAAAAAGTTCCTACATGAGACTGTGCAAGGTCTATGGATAGTCTTGAGCAACCGGGTCATGATTGCTGGAAAGGGACATTGCTGTTCACCTTTCCAAATGGGAGCTCACAGGACCCCCTGGTTCCTTTATATTTGAAAGAAGGCATACATCTCTATGGCTGAACATCCCCAAAACTCAGCAACTCACACCAAAACAATCTTGATGGATGAACAGCACTACAGGTAGGAGGAAAAATATAGTTTTTATTTTGGGGTGAACTGTCCCTTTAGGTGGGAAATATTTATTTACAGTTCTGCACTTCTTAATGCTGGGTATAGTATAGTCACATTCAATATATTGATTTCAGAGTTCTCCCAGCTGTATATATGGTTATTTTGAACAGTCACAGACTGTATCCGCATATATTTTCCACACAGCAAGTTATTTTTTACCATTCAGATGTAAATATATCTATGAGTACACTTTCTGGGTCCTGTTTGACTCACCACTATCTGGAAGTAGTCGCTGGGGATGACTTCCTCTCCGTTTTTCATCCAGCGGACGGTCGGCGGTGGGCTTCCTGTCACAGCACACTCCAGCTCGATGTCGGTGGACTCGTAGGCGTACGTGTTGGTTGGGTAGTTCAGGAACTGAGGAGGCACTGCAGGAATACACAAAAGCAACACAATACATAAACAATGGAGGAGCATCTGAACACCCGCCACTCCCAGCTAGAGTGAAGCACTGACTCAGTTGCAATGACGTTACTGTAAGTATTGTTATTGGCTCTTCAGCACCTTTATTTCTTCCCCGTCTGGATTGTGTTTCACATTAGCAAGTTTCTATAATGACCTCAGTTAATTAAAAACTAATTAACACAATTAGAAAAAGGATCCCTGGCTTATTACTGAAGAGTTGAATGTGTATGATCTCATTAGCCTCCATGGACCATTGCACGTTAATCTCATCACAGTCATTTGACATCTTCAGGTATTTATCGGTGGGTTGTTGCTAATTTTGCTGACAATCTACATTCAAACCTTAGCTAACAGGTTAAAGGTCCAGTGTGTAACACTGAGGAGGATCTATTGTCAGAACTGCAATATAATATTTATAGTTATGTTTTCATTAGTGTATGATCACCTGAAAATTACAATTGTTGTGTTTTTGTTTTTGTTGTTTATTTGCAGAAGGAGCAGGTAACCAAACACACGCTCTAGATAGGGGTCCAAGTCTGCTTGAATCCACCTTTTTCCACGGTCATATCTGATCGCCAGGTGGTGCTGTTTCCCTGAAGGTCTTTGCCAAGGTGTTTCAAAAGCTGCTGCACCTGTAGCGGTGTGTCTCTGTCGGCCCCTTAGTTATGAGAATACATCCAGACTAGTTAGGTTATGCATAAAGTAATCATTGAGCATCATCATTTTAGTAGCTGATTTAGTTACAAACTAACTAGTATTTACTGAGCCTCTAGTGTTGACTTTACACCATAACTTAGGAGAGAACTTGTACATAGCTGGTGCAACCCAGTCCTGAACTTGAGAGAAAATTCAAGATCCCAAAGTTTCCAATGATACCAAAATGTCAAGTTGAGTTTTTAGGAAATGTTTCTAAAATGATGCCTGTGTCCTGGCAGGTAGAATATTGATGAAACAGTACAGCCATTTAAAATAACTAAAATAAAATACATACGCAGTTTCAGTGAAGAGTTTGGACAACATGATACACAGTATATATGGTTTTGTCACACAGAGATGTGGAATTGTTTTTCCAACTTTAGGGCTGCCTAATAAACATTTTTATATTAAAAATGTTTCAAATTAATGTGGAAGAGGTGTCACTGGTAGTGACAAACCCACAGAGACTTTTCACCTGACTCCGCAGTTCTCCTCAGCTCTACAGAAGCTTTAGCAGCTTTTAGTTTGTTGTTCTGATTTTACGCTGCACAACTTCACTGTTTTGGTTCACTCCCACTGCTCTCCTTGCTGTTGTTACCATCAGCAGAAAGCTTCCAGCTTTCCAATGAAAAAAGCTCTGATAAACCCACTGTACACTACTGACCCAGTACCGAACAGCATACAGACACGGTTAGACACTAGCTGGTGGAGAAAAAAGAAGAAAAATTGAGCAGCTAAAGAGAAAGATATTTATCTCAGGAGTTGAGGACCAAACTAGAACTAAAAGGAAAAATGCATATTGGACTCATACTCAAGCAAAGAAAACAAGTCCAACCTAACAAACTGGCAAAACATGCCAGTTGACTGTAGCAGGATCAGTGTCAGCAGTTTAAAGGGTACTGTATATGATTTTCGGACTAGATGTCGCATTAGAGCACCAGCCTCTCAGATCAAACCAAATGACCCAGCCCTTTGGTTCACCAGACTTCATTGACAAAAACACTAATTTTACCTGCCGGACAATAAAACACATTCAAACTTGACAGGAAAAAAAATACAGTATTTCCACTGCTCCAACAACGATCACCAACTCTGGTTTGGTTGAAATAAACCCGTAATTCGTCGAGCCAGATGAGAAAAGAGCCGCAAAACAGGCTGCTATTGCTGCCATGTAACATTAGTTAGTTCTTGGGGACACATGAAATGTATGTCCAAGTGCCTGTTTTTGCCACAGGCTCAGGTTGTTATTCTAAGTGTCTGACAACATTATGGAAAGATCACAACAGAGACAGTCCTTTAACCAGAAACAGCCGTGATATCACTTTGCACCAGACTCTATAGACAAAAACAGTAATTTAACCTTGCAAATAATCACACTTTATTCAAAGTCACTAGAAAACAAGGTAAGACTCACCAGAACCATGTTTGTTAGTCTTTCTAGAGTTCCAACAATCACCAACACCAACTTTGAAATAACTTGAAATAAAGCTGTTTCATTCGCTGGAACATGGGAATACTGACGTGCACAACAAGTTTGTGTGGCTCCACCGGGATCAACCACGTCATTCTCTGCTTAGGACACATGTAATATATATATCATTACATAGCTAATAGTTGTTGTTATATTAATGTTCTAAATCTCCTATAGAATCTATAAGTTGTTGAGATGTGAAGTGATCGGAGCAACAGACAGGCTCACACATGTTCAGATGCGAGCTCATGCGACTGCTGGTAAACTGTCTACATGCCTGTTACATTGTGAACAGGAAGTAAGGAGGATGAGGCGGGTGAGGTGGCTGCCATGTTTCAGCTATGTCGGCACTGAATGCTGCCTTTGAAAACGTGGCAGCAGTGTGTGACTGCGAGACATGAGACAGAGAGCCATTTTGAGGACGGAGCCTGAAGGGCCTCGTGTCGCACAGAGAGCCACGGCGGCACTGTCAGCACTCCGAGACAACAAACATTCAGAATAGCAGAATACTACTGAGCATTATCTGAAGACAAGATGAAAGGAATAAGAAAGAAAGTGACAGACAAAAAAGGACAAAAAAAGACAGGGAGTTGGAAAGATAATACAAGTGAAAACAAGAGTAGAAGATGAGAAGAAAGGAGAAAACAGGAAGAGAGTAAAAAGTGAAAGACAGTATGTAACAAAGACAGAAAGAGAAGAGAGAAAAGAGGTGGATAAGGAAATAGAGAAAGAATTTTAAGAGATGGATGAAAGAAAAAAAATAGGAAGACAAAGAGAGGGAGGAAGGGTATAAAGTATAGAGGAGGTGAGTTGTGTATGTGTGTCTCCATCAATACATCATTATCTGGAGGTGTAACTTTATCACTGCAGTAATGCTCTAATTAAGAGCTAACGATTTCCTTTAAACTCTGAGCTTCTGCAGCTTCACCACACCAACAACAACACAGTGGTACACAAACAACACAGACCGCTACACATGTCCAGGAATTAATCTGAGACACTAAACACCTGAGATGCAGCCATTGCACAATGCACAATGACCTGTAAAATGTGACATACCCACTTTGGTTCCCAGGGAACACCTGCTATTTTTTGGTTCCAGCTGGTAACCAACTTTTCAGGTTCCGAACTAATTTTATTTCGGTTGTAATGCTGAGAACGCTAAGTAGGTGTGTGAACGGGAAACAGATCCGGTTCCCTTTTTGGTGAAAAAGGCATAACAGTCCAGAACAAGGTACAAAACTCAGATCTGTTTGATTTTTAAAGCATAATTTGCAGTATATGCGAGGATAAAGTACATGCCAGGGTGGACCAGTGTGTAGGACTTAGTGGCATCTAGCTGTGAGATACAGGATTGAAACCAACTGAAACCCCTTGACTCAACCAAGCACGAAGGAGAATCTACAATGGTTCGGAAAAAATGCAAAATGCCCTATCTAGAACCAGTGTTTGTCTGTTTTAGGCTACTGTACAAACATGGTAGTTCAATATGGCGGACTCCATAGAAGAGGACCCGCTCCCACTGTAAATAAAAACAGCTCAATCTGAGACAATAAAACACAACGATTCTTAATTTCAGGTGATTATACACTAATGAAAATATACGACAATATATATGACAATAGATCCTCCTAAATGTTACAAAGTCAGATAGGAGTTGTACACTCCATTGTGATTCTCTAATTAAAGCCTATTACAGTTTTTTTCTGGGAACCACTTCATCTTTATCATCAGCTTTGTAGCCCAGTAGTCTTCTCTTGCCAATGTGCTAAAACGTTTTTATTGTGTTTCAAGTTTCCACACCCTTTCTCAAAACAGTTAATAGAGATCACAGAAAGACCCGGAACTCTGTTGGTTTAACTGTGTTAAACAAAAGGAAGACATCTATTCACAGCTGATAGAAATGAGAATAATGCACCTGTTAGAAACTGTGAAACTCTCTTACACAACTCATTAATCAGCAATCCGTTCTTATCCATCTATACAAAATCTGTGTTGCTATTTGCAAGCATGAATCAAAGAGGCAAAAGGCAAATAAGGAGAGTTAGAGGCCATGGCAGAGGTGCCTGAGGAAGAGTGGCTAGCATGCATTGTGGAGGAGCCACAGCAAGAGGAGAAAATAGGGTTCAAATAGAGCTTTAACTGAAATTATTGAAACAATTATGAACAATGTGCTCAGTCATGGCTTTTTCCTTTAGTGAGCCTGGACATAGGGTCCACCACATTCTGAGATAGGTATAGGTGAGTCACCATATTACTGTATACCACGTTGTATTTCAGCCTTACTGTATCGCCCTGTTGGCAGAACAAACTGAGTGTGTTTCCAGTAATGCAGTTGTTTCATCAATCCCATTTATTGGACGCTAACGCTGAACAGGAGGCTTCCATTGTAGATATGGTTGTGGCAAACAATGTGATCAGACCATGAAATCCAGGCAGTAGTGATTATAGATCAGGAAGCTTTTAGAAATATCTAGAGTGTGAGTTTGGCTACTATTGATCAAGTCCTTAGACGAAACCACTGTTCTATTCCCAAGAATAGAAAATTGTCACACCATACAGTTATATGCAACTCTCATCTTAGAGAATAATGGAGTTTGAAGCTGAAGAGGCACATCACATATTCATGTATGTGGATGATGCCATCTTCCTCCTTTCTAAATTAAGGAGCGTAAGTGGGCAGAGGGCCACTGTTACAGGTCAGAGGGGCACCAAGATCACCATGTGTGCTACCATCTCCAATGATGGTGCCCCTTGCCACATACCAACTATCGACCTATACAATACAGAATGCCT